CTAGTAGCTTTTTTTTTTTTTTTTTTTTTTGAGCTTAGAACTTTTATTGGAAATAAGTAGGAGACCAGTTCCTGGATTTTGTGGAGGGGTCCTTTCTGGGGTAGCTGCATGACCTCTCAATTTAGAATTATGTTGCTTAAACATTTAGTGTTTACTTCTCACAGGTGGCTCTGTGGAGTTGAAACGACCAACTGGGACTCAAAGTTTTAGCCCAACTCTTCCACATGTAGGGTTTATAGGAAACTGGGATCTCAGAAAAAATTTTGTTAGTTTGCATTGTAATTTCTGCAAAATTCTAGTAGAGATAGGCTACCTCCATTAGCAGGGAGTTGGTAGTGTCCACACTGCCCAAGGAAATTCATTTTTTGTCCAAAGTCCTAGTGCACAGTCTAATTTTTATCAGTATGGCTGGTCACTCCGCTCTATCTCAGGCCTTTTCGTTAGCTAGCTGCCTCACTCATAAGCTAACTAAATAAACTCTTTTCTACATTTCCCCTTTCTGAAGAAGAATCCTTAACTGCCACTAAGGGAGAACAACAGATGAAGACCAAATCTAGCTGCTTCATGCTGAAAGGGGTTGATGCAGCGGAGACAGCAGTCAGGGACTTTCTCCAATGAGCTAATTTAAGAGGCCTTGGAGAGAAGTCATGTTGGGGTTTAGCAGTGATATGCTTTCTGTAGCGGGCTGATCTAGTGGACCCCAGTAAAAGGAATCCAACATGTTCATCACTGGCTCGATTTGTATGACCATTTGGAGTTTGACAGTCTCTAGGCAAGAAGAAACAAATTTTACTAAGAGATTAAGAATGCATAGTGCCCCCGCTAAGAACCAGAATGAAAAGACAGATTGGGAAAGGAGCAAAGGTTGGGGCACTGGTTTTTAAGGAACTGGAATAGGAATTAAAACCAGTTGGGTCATAGACCTGCCTGTTTGTGGAAAGTATCTGTATGTCTGATATTTTTTTTATTGTTTTAAGATCTTTCTTTTTTTTTACTTGATGTGACTTATTTATTTAAGACAAGTTTTATTTATTAGTGCACAAATCCCTCTAGTTACATTTGCAAGAAGACAGAGAGCTCTATGGTTCTGAAGGACAACTTTAGCTAAGTAATCTGAAAGTTCTTAAGCTTTTGTAGCTGTTCCTGTGGCTTTTTTCTAGCCTCCTTGAACCGTAATAGTGATTAACTATGGGTGTAGCTGGAGACTGTCAGCAGGGGTCAGTGTAGTGACAGAAGCCTGTTTTCTGTATCTTATATTACTATTATTTTTTTATACTTTTCTGCTGGGTATTTAAGACCAAGTTAAAGTATGACCTGTGTTAATAAAAATTAACCTGTCACTGTATATATCAGGGTCAATTAGGGTTCTTTAGAGGCTACTTTTGGAACATGTACTGAGCTCCTCTGTCACTGTCACTTATGAGGATGGTCAAGGTCTTGCTTGGCTATGCGGCTTCCCGTGGAAGCACAGAAGATGTTTTTCTTTTTAATAACCACAATTTGAATACAGTGTACACAGGCTGACTCCTGTTCTCTGGGTCCAACAATCTTCTTGCTTAAGAGACTGGGTGACTCACCGAAGTTGTTGTAGAATCTTGTAGAAAGATTTCCCTTTTATCCTGGCTCCTTCTTGACCTTGGTAGGCTAGGAACAATACATTGCCTGTGTTCTTAGCCAAGTCGCCCCTTTTTAAAGCTTTTGTCTCCGAACCAAAGTTTTTGAACATGCAGGAGATTAGTTACATAAGTACTGCAGTAGAAGTACTAGGTTTAACTATCTTCCCTAGATAAAAAGCACCTTGAAATACAAAGTAAGACCATAGAACAGTTATTTTTTACCAATCATGGTCATCTTAGAAGTCAAATTCCTATAGAATGTTAACCTATAGCAATTATAAAGTTTTACGGAGAAGATTTGAGGTCAATGACAACATATCATTTTAACATGACAATCATGGTGCCATTATATTGGAACCACTAGGTTTTGTTTTGTCTGAAACATTTAAATCTCTATTTTAGTCTAAAATAACTTTTTAGTCAGCTACCTTTATTTAATTACAAAATATTAAATGATATAAAGAAACTTTTACCTAATTTTTTGTCTTTTAATCATCCTGTTACCAGAGTGACATTTAAGTAAAATGTGCTTGTTTATAGGTGTACTTTTCTGATAGGTGACTTGTCCAGTTTTTCCCAGAACCTTATAGTATGACAGCCCAATAGTTATTAAATAAATTAGTATAATGTACTTGAGTTGGTTATAATTAAAATGTTAAGCTTTTAAATGTCTAAAACAGTAAGGTTTTCTTATTAAAAGATCCTCCTCATTAAATTTACAAAGCTAGATTAAAAGGCAACTACTCTATATTTTATTGATAGTTTCTTGTGTTCTCTATTGTTAGGCTTTTGGTTAGCTAAATTGAGCTTTAAGAGTTAAAGAGTAAGTGTTTGCTTGTGAAATGCTTTCAATAATCAGTTTATGATTAGTTAAATTTAACAACTATTATCTTAGTTTATGATTCAACCCATATATCTGGGAGTAGAGATACATCTGAAAACAAGATACACTGTGAGCTGAAGCTTTAAAGTTAAGCTTATAAGACTAAAATGACAAAAGGCTAATACATTCAAAGTAACTGATAAATGTTTTCTTTTATTCAATATACATCTAGACCTCAGTCATAAAAAAGATCAAAATTTAGCTTTTTTAAAAAATTTAACCATTTAAAACTTCATCTATATCTGTTGACTTTGATTAAACAAATATTTTGTTATTATCTAAGTGAGTTACACGTATATTGGGTAATAAATAAGTCTGTTTATGTCATAAACACCATTTGTTAAATGTAAAAGAGCTCTAAAGATGTCCTTTAATTCTTTTTTGGTTTTATGAGACAGTCTTGCTATCTAGTTCAGGCTGGCCTTGAACTTGTGGTGATCTTCCTGCTAAAGATTCTCAAATGCTGAGATTACAGCATGCACCACCACGCCTGACAGATGTCCTTTAGTTGTCAGTGCAGTCGCACACTTACTGTAAAGCCTGTTAAAGGAGTCAGTTTTGCCTTAAGAGTAAAAACTAAGTAAATATGTACAAAGTTTTCTATATGGCTATGATACTAATTATTGCTAACTGCATGGTATGTTCAATGTATTTCTTTCCCAAGTGTACAGGTGCAAAAGTGCAAAACTGAAAAAAACATCTTGTCATACTGTGACTTCCAGAAAGAAGAGCAAAATGTAAGGGGGAAATCTCCCTCTTTATTAAAACTCTGGAACTATGGGACCAAGAGTCAAGAATCTGCATACAAAAACGGTCTTCTGTTTACAGTGATTTTATTTCAGATTTTTTAATCTTTACAATAATACTAATATGCTAGGCTAATACTAATAGGTGAGGCTATGTTATGATATTCAGCAATTTAGATACATTAAGTGGTGAACAGTATCTTCAATTTATCATGGTGTTTTTGAAATGTAGTCCCTCTGTAAGTGAAGGTGTGGATTTCTTTGATTATAACAACAACAACAACAACAACAAAAAGCCAGGGACAGTACGTGGATTTTCATATCCTGTTTTGAACTTTTTCATCTGTGTAGAATGGTTATGGAGCTTGAGACCCTTAAATGAAAATCTTTCCCCAGAACTCACTTTAAACCTAGGGCAGCCATCCTGAAGTTTCTGCAGATTATGCTAAGGTTCGGCATTGATTGTCTGACAATAAATTCTGAGGTACTTAAATGCTCTTTGTAATAACATTTTATGTTGGATGATTTTCTGGGCAGCCCACCAACATGGTGACTGTTTACCAAAAGAGGATGAATTGCAATTAGTTATAATTAGAAGAAATGTAACACTGACCCTTATATAACTATTTGAATACTAGTTACTTTAGAATCATCTGTAGGAATTTTACAATTACAAGCCTTTTATTCTTGTTTTAGAGAATTTGGATTCTTTTGCTTGGTGAGTCTATAGTACGGTCTTAGATTTATTTTTCCTTTGAGTATTTTAAAATAAAAAATCTAGGTAGCTCAAATACAATACTACTTCAGGAATCGGATAAGCGTTACTGAGATTTCCCTGAGCATCCAAATTACGTTTATGTTGAACAATTCTGTATGAAATATTACTGATTAGTAATAACTTTCCATATACAGTCTCTTAAGTAGTGTAGGCAAAAACTATGGGTTACATTTGAGCATTTAACAGTATAGGTATTTTTACATGATATTAACTATTTTTCATCTTGATAATTAATTGCTCAAATTATTAAGTATAGCTATAGTTCATGTAGTTTTTGCTGTGTCTCAGGCCCAGCACTGGTTTTGGCAATCACTGTCATTCATATACACAGCTCCTTTATGAGGTAAAAATCGAAATTTTTACTTTATAGGCCCAATTCCTTGTGAAGTATATCGCTACATGTTAAAAATGTAATTTATAATTAATTCCACCTAACATACATCATAGCATCTCTTTTCAAAAAGCACAGCATCTGTTGTACCCCTTTTAGAAACAGGATAATAAATAAGAATTCATTTTGCTGAGAAATATATCCTACAAATGAAATGAAGTCTTTCATGGCATATGACCCATTTCTGAACTTATTTGATTTGCCAAACTTTTTCTTCTTTGGTACATTTTAGGTATACAATAGAGTCACATTCATCACTGGGATTTGTACCTTTGCATGATGTACTTTGGTTCTTATTTTTTCCCCATTCCACTGGTCTCCCTTTACCCCTTCCACCCTTCCCTGTTTATGAAGACTTTGTTTCCATTTTTTCCCCTTTTCTCTTGTTTTTTCTTTTCCCTTCTTACCATTCCCCTACTTCTCCTACTTCCTATACTACTTTAGACCTTTTTTCCTGTTGCATAACATCAATTGTACATTTTGATCCTTATATACTGAATAGTCTCTCTGGTGCGATCTGCCAGACCAACATATTTTTAAGAGTTCTCAATGTAATGAGTTCAGTTTGGGATATACTTGTCTGAGTATGAGGTTGGGTTCTTCAAAAACAGGTTAGTATTACTGCTATCCACCTTTTCTTTTTTTTCCTGCTTCCTGGTTTCTAACTCAAAATTTAGAAACATTTAATAGTATTTTAGAAGTTTGAAATTTACCGTTTCAAATAAAATGATGTGTTCAAGTAGAATGAAATGGGATTCAAATGTGAGGAAATCATAAGAGGGACTTGATAGGTGTCAACCATAGATGATGGTAGTTTTGAGATAAGGTTGCCATTCAGACCAGAGGAGGAAGCTGTTACATCTCACCTAAAAGTGCTTTCGAGCCAGCTCAACAAGACTGTTTGATAATGTATTAGATTTATACCTTTTTATCATAACCATTTCACAGGAGCCTTGTCTTATGCTGAATTGGGAACAAGCATAAAGAAATCTGGTGGTCATTACACATATATCCTGGAAGTCTTTGGCCCATTACTAGCCTTTGTACGAGTCTGGGTGGAATTGCTCATAATACGGTAAGAACATAGATAGAAAAACTTGATTTCATTATTCTTCGGAATCACCTTGATTATTTTTACCTAACTAGAAATGTGCATGTCAGGTGACTCTGCTCTAAACATGTGTATGTTAGGAAATAACATCTGTGATACAATACTTTTCTAGATTTAAAAATTTTAATGCAGTTTTTATCACTGGAAGTGGTTCACCAGCAATGCCAAACTTAAGAGGATGACTTTTCTTTAATTCTAAATTATTCTCTTATATTTCTAAGAAGCGTGCTTATCTAAAATTGTAACTAATTTTACTTAATGTACAGTATAACATCTTTCAAACCTTTCTAGAATATGAAGCATGAAAAATTGTACTGTATGACACAATTAACTATGCTAACAATTAGTTGTCTTTTACTGAAGATTATGTAAAAGGCCTTTTAGTTTTACTCCATTTTTGTGACTAATACATGTCTGTGTATATCAACTTGATGTGTCATCAAGTCTACCAAAAAAAAAAACCAGCAAGTTTACAAATCATAAGTGACTCACTTCCTCACATAAAATCAGTTAGTGAACTAGTTCTGAAAATCTTTTGATTTATTGTTTTAAAATGTGCTCCTCTTCCTGATCTTCTTGGCAATGGATAGTGCTAAGTCATAATGAATAGTGATTTTCTTCCAATTTTGTGGGGAATTTACGGTGTCACATGAGTACTTTGAGAGTAACACAGTCCCTTAAGGCTAAAGGGTTTCCTGCAATGCGATGTGCACTTTCTAGTTACAGAATATAATACAAATAACCAGGGAAACTTGCCCTAGTTGTAAAGTTATCACACATCCATAGCTGAGAAGTTGGGTGAGCTTTTATTCTGTCATATACAGGATGTGGCAAATTCAGAGTAAATAAATATTAACACTAATCATGATTTTTATAGTGTTGGGTCTCCTTCTTCACAAAGGACTTCAGGATAGTATACGTTTCATTTAAACAATTCTGAGTTACTTAGAACTTGTTACATACAGTGAAATGACAAAGGAGTATTTTATTCCTTTTCTGAGATTTCCCTACCTGGATGTATCTTTTGTTCCTTTTTAATTGTGTGAATCTTATATATGCTTCAGAGGTCAACATAAATCTTATTTTTTTCACAGTTAATTTAGTCTAGTTTTTAACATTTCTTTCATCTCTCATTCTTCTGGAAAACTCAGTCCCTGCTTCTCATTTGACATTGAACTTGGTATCTTGTATTTTTATTTAATATCTTAGGTGCCTGTGATCTATTTTACTGTTAAAACTGCAAGCATTTCAGTGACATAAGATTGGATCCTACATTTCTTATAACCTTTATACTAAAGTTAGTGCCTTGTGTATCCTGGTTACAAATTCTTTTAAATAAGTGATAGAAACTTTATACTATTTTGAATGCAACATACTGAACATTCAAATAAGTGCACTACTTCGAGTGCTGGCCTGTCTGGCTGTTGAGCTTTGGTGTTGGATATAGTTGGAGTTGAATCCATCTTCATCTATGCATTCGTAACCCTGACTAATTTCATGGCATTATGTAAACATAACCATTCCATTTCCTATTGCACAGATAGATTACCTTATTCATTCCACAAACTGCCATCAAATACTGAGTAGCAAGATAAAGAGATCTAAATTTGAATGAATCCCATTTCTACCTTTCATGAAGCTGATAATTTAATGTTTCTTTAATTTTGAAAGAACTGCTTTATGTTTGTGTGTGTGTGTGTGTGTGTGTGTGTGTGTGTGTTAACAGGAGAAACTGCCTACATAAATTCTAGAACCTTTCTAATATATATATTCCTTTGTTGTAATGAATTTGAATTGTTGGGTTAATCTTTCAAATACTTGAAGAGAGACAAGGTACCTAAGTATTTTAATGTTTCTCTTCTATTACTTACTTATACCTACAATACCTAAATACTTCTATTAAAATTATAGCTTCAGATTAAGTTACTGTTGCCAGGAATAATCTGTAAAGCACATTCAAGGAAAGAAACTCCCATAGTACATAGCAGGGATCATTCAGCTGAATTCATTCATTCACCATATATTCAATATGTATGTATTGAGTTTCTACTTCTTGACAGACACTGTACTAAATCTGGGGATAAAATTATGATTAAGATGGTCCTATAGAATTCAGTGTCTAGTTGGAGGAAAGAGTTATCAATCAGGGAATCACACAAGTGAATATAAATTGCTACCATGATTAGCAGTGTAGAAGGAAAGCTAGGTTTCAGTAACATAATATTCTAGGAAATCTGACTCAGTCAAAGAGTTGGAGAAGCATTTCTGGACCAAGTAAGACTGAACCAAGATCTAAAGAATTAAAAAGAGTGAGTTGAAGATGCTCCCAACAGAGAGAATTCTGATTATTGTGGTGGGAAGAAGTCAGCTGAAGACAGAGGGTACTCAGATCAGGTGGAGTCTTGAATGCAATGTGAAGGATATTAACATATCCAGAGCACATTTTTAAAATGCTAAATGACATGATCAGATTTTAATTTGTCCATCAAAAATGCCCATAAATGATGTAGCACAGGAAACATAGTCTCATTTAGGGAAAAGAGAAAAAGGCCTCTAGGAAAAGAAGAAAGTCAAGATATTTATGGTACTGTTAAGGACCAGTAGGCCAAAGTTGGTGCACATATTGGTAGTTGGTTTTCTGATAATCTAGGGATCAGATATGAGGGCTGGGTAATCATGAGAAGGAAGAGAAGCTGAAAGGAAAGCCAGGCATCAGAGAGTAGATAATTCTGTGGACTTCCTTGTGAATGGAAAGAATATACACGTGAGAAGAGATGCAATTTCCTCATAGAAGTATTTGAAGAATTAGAATAGAATGATTTATTATTACCCATGTTGCTATAGATCTGAACTGATTTTCTTATGCATTTCTTAATTGTATAAAATTATGAGGACTCCTATTTTTAAATTTATATTTTGTATCAATATTTTTATAGGATAAAAAATAATTTGAGTTTTTGTACTGGAAAGAAGAGAATAGAACAATGTCAGCTATTTAGGCATATATTGGTGAGGAACATGTGTAATACTAAAGTTTTAGTTTGAGGTTTGTGTTCCTTATCTTCACGGTGCACAATCCATTATATCTTTATCAATAACAAACTCAAACTGTGACTGGAGCCTAGTTATTAATTTACTGAGAAAGAAAACTGCTTCTGGTAAGGCCTTGCTGTGTCAGGATCATTTAATAAACAATAAAATTTAAGGAATAATAAGTCAAATATTCACAGAGCAGGGGCTGACTTGGTAGTTCTCAGACTTGCTTCCAAGGATATTTAAGAACTACCCAACAATGAATGTTACAGGCAATATTTCCTTTGGAATGTCCATGGCAAACAAATTAAATATGGAATTTTAAAATTATCGACTTTACTATTACATACATTCCATGTGCCAAGTAGTAACACTTCATGATAGAAACATTTTGGTGAAAATGCTGTGTATTTTTTCCTGTAATTATTATTATTGTTACTATTTTTTGTTGTTATTTAGTCCTGCAGCTACTGCTGTGATATCCCTGGCATTTGGACGTTATATTCTGGAGCCATTTTTTATGCCATGTGAAATTCCTGAACTTGCAATCAAGCTCATCACAGCTGTGGGCATAAGTAAGTATTATAGGTATAAGCATGAAAAGGAGCAAAGCAACAAAAAAGTTACTGGAGACTGAGTTCCTTTGGAGTTTTCGCATGGTGGTACTGCTTACTAGTGTTGTTTTTCCTTAGAGTTCCAAATTTGTGTTGGAAAATATAGAAAGAATACAGATTTGGCATGGCTATTGGTATTTTAGCACCTAATGTATTGCATTAAGTGAATAGATATTATGGCCAATCTTTTAAAATAGAAAAAAAGTGCTTTGTTGGTAAAATACTATGTAGATTGTATATGAAAAGAGTTTTTAAAGAATGAAAACAACTATTTTGTGATTTTTCTAAATTGGTAATTATCCTATCTCAGTGATATGTTAAATTATAACTTGTGTATACTCATGGAATTATAACTTGTGTATGGTTATGATGATGTGTTAGACTTGTATATTGTGTTCATACAATTTATAATGCTAGTATATCACTCTGTTATAGTTTTTGCTGCCTTTTTGGGCCATGATAAAAATCTTTTAAGATTTGATAATAACATTTCTCAATTAGGAAATTTTCTTTATGGGCTACAAATTAGAATGCTGTTCATTTTTTTTTTTATTAATGATGTAGATTGTAGAAATTGAAAAAGTGGAAATGAAAAAGAGGGACATGCACAAAATTATATGCGATACAGAGTCAAATCTCTTTCTAATTTCTCTAAAACTTCCAGAATGTCATGAGAAAGGATAACTTAATTCTATTTGCTAATCAGATCACTTTTTAAGAGCCAGTATTCTCACATTTAATTAACAATTTAGAAATAGAAAGCTACGCAAGAATAACTGAATTGCATGCTCATAGAAGAATGCTTAGGATGTTGTTCTAAAGTGTTTCAACAGAACAATAAAAAGAGGGCCAGGGATTTAGCTCAGCGGTTCGGTGGCCTGCCTTGCAAGTGAAAGGACCTGAGTTCAATCCCCTGAACCAAAAAAAAGAACAATGCACTTTTGACAATGGAGAGGTGAGTGGTTAGGTTGTAGGAAAGAGGAAGTACATATAAAAATATCCCTTATGGCAGTTACATATATTTCTGCACTTATTTAAATTCATATTAGATTTCCTACTTTATCCATCAAACTTGTATGTACAATTATTCTGTGAAATTTCTGAAAAGACAAAGAAAATTACTCAGGGTAGACCTTTCTGAGTTCTAGAGAGGTAATGGTGTACCTACTTAAATCATCTTGTCCTTAACACACATACATAGCTACCACATGTAGGGGAGATATAAGAGCAAGTTACTTAGCCATTCTATATCTTTGTGTTCTCCGCTAATCATTCCAGGGTTAGAAGGTGTTGTATTAAGTGATTTTTAAATGAGACAATATGTAGAAAATGTTTTGGGTAATCTTTGTAAAGAATACAATACAAATGGTAGCTATTTATGTTTTTGTAGGAAGACATTAGTGGAATTTCCATGAGACTAGTGACCTTTACACTGTAGTCTTTCCAGTTCCTCTTACAGCTCCTAGCATGTTGTTTATGCTCAATAATGATTTGTTACTGATTGATTTTATAAAAAAGGGTCTAAGAATTTTTTTACTGTAGCAGAAAAGTCAATAGTTTATGTATTTGTCACATTTGGAGGATTATATATCTTCAGTTTTCTGAGCTAGGAGTTAAATTGGTGGCATAATGATGTAGAGTTTGTTTGATAAGATGTTCAGATCTAATACATGAGTTTTTGTGGGATGTAGCTCCCTGGAGGCAAACAATCTGGATTTGGAAGTTAGTGTTCTTCTGTTTTACATGCTGTTTGGCTAATGATTAAATCATTTAGCCTGTTTATTTATTGGTAAAATGCCTACGAACAGGTAATTTATCTTGAATGACTATAGAAAAATGAGACAGTATATTTAAGTTAGAATTTTAAGTCCTTTAGAAGAGTGCCCTGCTTATAGAAAATTTTCAACTAATCTGGTCTCCCACTAAAGCATTGAGTTAATGGCTATTTTTGTATTTAACCAAATTCTTGTCCCTTGAATAATTTAGACAAATATCACAGATGTTCTGTTAAAATTGATAACTGATTGTTATTATTGGTAATTCTGGAAATTAATAATATTGACTAAATGCTTTAGGCAGGGGTCTTTTAAGTATATTATATATGTAAATCTAAAATTTATAAATTTTGCCTGCTTTGGATGTGAAATTGGATGGCTAATGATATTTCTGTTTTGTAAGACTAGATGATTAGTTTGTGCACAATTCCATTAAACTTTTTAAAGGAAAAATTTATATTTTAGATGATTAAATGGAAACTGTTCAAAGCAGAGTTTTAAAGCAGCTATGAGAAAGGACAACAAAAAATGTTTACAAAATATGTTGTAGCAGTTGAGGATAGAATTATTTGTAAAGAGCCCTGAGTAAGTGTTGGATAATTTAGACATTTCCTAGAATAAATGTAGACATTTCCTTCTATTTTCGCCACTAGTTATAATATTAGTTTATACATTTTGATGTTCCTTTTGTAAGTGTGAGATTCTGAAAAGGAGCTGTGTTCCCACAATCAGAATCACTTAAAGAGAAAAGGGAAATTTCTTATGACTCAATGGGAAGTAATTTAAATCAGTGGCCTAATTGGGAAAGTCAAACTGTCTTTAAGAAGAATTTACCTTTAATGGAGCAACAGGGGGTGGAGATGGAGATAGAGAAAGAGAAATGTACCTAGGGGCACATCTCTCACATCCTTTATTTTTCAAAGTGACTATAGGTGATTTTCTGCCTGTAGGGTTGGAAGGTTACTGAGATGTAGAAAATAGAGTTTAATTGCATGAATTGCTTCCTCGTGTTTCTTGAGGGAAACAGGGAGTTTAAAATCTCTAGTTAAGTGTAGAAAAAGGTCAGTCCTGAAGGGTCCTGGTATACATAGAAAAAGAGTCAAATTTTGTGAAATAATAACCTACCATTTGAGAGAAGATGATAAGGTGAGGAGGGGAGTTAACTAAATTCTAATTTACTTTCATTTTTAAAAAGTACTCCACTTCACTTCTACCAAATTAATAAATACCAAATTAATAAAAAGTTTTTTGCTTAGTTGAAATCCTGTCTATTCAGCTAAGTTTGTCAAACATGGGGGATTTACCCGAACATTTTGTATGTTCACATTTCGTTGCTTTCCTAGAGCCCAGGGCCAACATTTTTCCCTCTATCTTCCATGAGAGACTGTGGACTTTCACTGCGCTTCTACCTTCAATTAAACATTGAAGTATGCTCAATATTTAAAAATATTTAGTCTTTTTTGTTCTGGTCTCCAGTCTAGACCCTCTATAAATGTACAGGTGAATGGTAGAATATTACTGTTACTGGGCAGTCTGCTTCTAAAAATGGCTCCCCAGCTAAATGTTACCTGGTTGCTTGCCTCTCTGGAGTTAGATCCCAGGTTCTTTTCTTGAACAGTGAACTGAACAAAATGAGGGGGAAAAAAGTGGCAAAGTTTATTCAAGAAAGTAAAAGCAAAGAGTGGGGAAGAAACTGGCTCTGCAGAACGAGCTTGAGCACAGTAAAAGTGGAAAAAGCAAGACAAAATAGTACCCTGCAGAAAGCACAATGGCCACTCCTGAGGAAAACCCACTTTGGTAAGTTCTTTTTGCGTCGTCTCTCCTTTATGTTGTCCAAGTGTCTAGGAAACCCGCGAGAACTACATACGGGTCCTGAGAGGCAGTGCTGAGGGCTTTGGGAGCTGTTCTGCGCTTGCGTCTGAGATCTTGTAGTGTGTAGTTCACGCCTACTTCCCTGGCTAGTTTGGCATGTGCTTCTCTCCTATCTTATTACTATACAAATAAATACTTAACTTAAAATGTGAAGTCTAGTTCCAAATCCGTGCCTAAGGAACTTTTCTGAGCCTTATATCCTTTCCTAAACTATTTTATGTGGATGAATTAAGAGTTGCATACTACTTAAATCGTGTAGGTGTAGTGGGGGAGACATAAGCAAAACAGAATTTGTATTGCATTGTGAAAACCACTTGACCTGTTCTCTTTTCCTAGCACTGAATTCTACGAAAGAAAAATCTAGAACTGGTTCTGTGTCAGCATTTCCAACATTGCAGAAGGAATGCCTTTGTTTAAACTTTCTGAAGCTTGGTGTAGCTCTCCTTTTCTAGCGTAACTAAACTACCAGCACTACCAATTAATTCTTAAGTAGATCTGCAGTGTTAAAACATAAAAATATTGCAAAACAACAATGATGTCGTTTAGGAGGATAGTAAATATGGAATTAAAGTGCCCTGAGATCAACCTAAGATGAATATGAACCATTACAGAGAGGAAAGGCTGTTGACACGTCTTTAAAGAACTGAGTGAGTGTGTGTGTGTGTGTGTGTGTGTGTGTGTATTTGAACTATTTCTTCATTGTTTTACCTATGAACTAATGGCAAAGTATGTGTTCAGTTTGTAATAGCTAAAACTTGGAAACAGCCCATCTGCCCATCAGTTGGAAACTGGAAACGAAGTGGTTTTTCTATAAAATGGAATACTATTCAGCCATAAAGAATGAGAAAGTAGATTCATTCATAGGTAAATGGGTACATTTTGAGGATTCACTCCTAAGTGAAAGAAAGAAGTCACACATATGCAAATACCGAATAGTTTCTCTGGTGTGAAAAACTAAAATAGTACTCAAGATCCTAATGGGACAATTAGCAATGTGAAATAGGAAGAAAAGGACCAAAGGTGTAGGGACAGTGAGAAGGTAAAAAATATGAGAAAATATAAAAATGGAATTAAAGTAGGTGGGGAGGGGAGGAGGGGGTGAAGGGAGGGTGGGGACAAGGGGAAAAAATGAGAACGAAGACCTGGCATGTAAAGGTACAAGATCCCAGTAATGAATGTAACTCTACTGTCTACCTAGAATGTACCAATAAATTCAATTTAAAATTTAAAAAAAAAGTGCGTGTTCTAGAGTTAAACTATCTAGGTTATAATCTTATCTTCCCACTTACTGCTGTTTTGAACATAGACAAGTTAATATCTTGAGTCTCAGCTGCTTACCTTAAAAACAAGACTAACAATAATAATGATGTTACAGAGCTACGAGGATTAAATGACGTTACCTGTGTAATGTCTTTACACATTATTTACCATAAATAATAGCTTACATTTATATAATGGTCACCACTTTTATTTCCAATAGTGAGATTGTAGAGATAGACTAACTTTCTGCTTTTAGAAGTGTTGACTGCTACACATCCTCTCTGAAATTAATGCATCCAGGAAATGAACGCTAACAAAGAGATAAAGGGAACCCAGGCACTTATTGCCAAAAGCAGCAGAACCACTCACTTTATTTCACCATGTAGCATATATCCGCAGCATCCATTCATTTTATCTGTTTGGCATGAAGCAGTTACAAGTCAGAAGCCAGAAAGAATCTGAACCCAAGTGAAAACCCAATATATCCAGAGTCTTTAATCTCTCTCTTCAAAACCAAAGGCAGACTTGAATTATGGACAGTGCCGAGAGAAATACTTGCCAGTCTTTAAATCAGGACATCATTCCTTAACATTCCTCTAAACAACCTCTTCAAATACAGCTCCTTCAAATATGTTATTTCTTATCTCCAGGATTTATAGATAGAGCTTTCATTCCAGTTCTTAGGAAACTGTATCATAAATAAGTAAATAAAATTTGTATGGTTCCTTATTTTCATTTCGGTAAAAATTTGAGTCAGGAAAAAAAACCCAAACTGATATAATTATTATTTCCTTATGTGTAAAATTAGCAATTACTCAAAGGAAGTAAAACCAGAGAGTGGTCTCAGATCTTTTATTATTACAAGTGAGTGGATAGTATGTGCAAAAAGCATAGTTTCTTTTTATTTCAGAAACTCAGAAAGCTCTTGCATTTAGTGAATCCCAAATCCCTTTTTAATAGTGTTGGGTAAGCAGCATCCACAGTCTTAAATTCTGCTGTACAGACACTTGATGAAGCAGCAGTTCTGGCCCCCGGAGAGCCCCAGCTTCGCCTCTGCGCTGGCTGCCTGTTCCTTGTTAAGCGGTGCCTTCCAGGTCACAGAGGTGCCTCTCAGCTGGAATGTGGTGTACCAAATAATGAGTGCAATGTCTGGGTGCTCAGATAAAGTGGGGCTTTGAGAAACCTTCGAGAAAAATTGGTCCTAATCAGAATTTTTGTTTCAGCTGTCAAGGAAAGCAAGATGAAGTTGTCAATTCATGCTGTTGGCCTTGTTTTCTCTTCCATTTGTTTAAAAAAACTTTATAAAAAATAAAAAAAAAAAAAAAAAAAAAAAAGCAAAGAAAAACCGGGCAAATATTCACTTCTCCTTTCAATAAACATAAGCATTACATACTCTTAATGAGGTAACAAATCCTCTTTTCCCTTTTCTAATATAAAGATGGTCAGATATTCCTAAAACAGGATGTATCCTTCCTTTTGCTCTCCTTCCCTCCCTCTTTTCTTCCTTTCTTTTTGTCTACTTGTCTCTTTTCCTTTTTCTTCTTTTTACTTCTCCCAAGGGCTGCTTTCCATTGGAGTACTTTCAGTGATAGTGTTTTGGGTTTTAGAACTCTGTTTAAAAGAAAGTAATGCTCTTTTGTCACTGATGGGAACATGAGATCATTTTTTTCCCTTTTATGTCAAAGTTGAACTTCTTTAATTAAAAAAAAGGATCATTTTCATATGATGACTCATTACAGTCATTTGCATAGAAAAGAAAGCCCTAACAGGATGATGAAGAAGGGATCAGAGTTGTACTAAATTATTGTCAGAATACAAATGATTTATATTGTGGAGGGAGAAATAATTTATATTTTTTTCATTCCTGATAAAATATTGTATTTTACCATTGATGATGGACCTGTCTTCATGTCTTCAGCTTCAGATTAGATAAAATATTTTCCCTTTTCCCCGTTGGCCTCCACTGAAGTTCATTCAGGGCTTTGGCCTTTCTAATCATTCTTATTACTCCTCTGAAAAATTCTTTAACCCTATTTCACTTTATGTGATAGCTCGTTCCCTCATTTCCCAACTTTGAATATTTTAAAAATGAAATTTTATTTATTCAAAATTTCCAGCTTTATTGAGATATACGTGACAAGTAAAATTGTATTATATTAGGGTATCCGATGTTATGATTTAATAAACATATTTTATGAAGTATTTATCTCATCAAGTCAATTAATGCAAATATCACCTTGCTTAGTTACCTCTGGTTTTGTTTTGAGGTGAGAACATTTAAACAAAATTGAAATATACATTTAATACTGTCAGCTACAGTCACCATGGCAATCAATACATATGTACTATAAAATTTATTGAAATATTGCTGAAAAATAAATACCAGAAATTGGAAATTATTTGTAATATTATCATGTATAGGTACTTGCTATTAATGTTTTGGCAAATATTCTTTCAGGTCTTTTCCTTTCCCTATCTATCTATTCATTCATCCTATCTTCTTTATATACCTGTCCACCCATCTGTCCATCCATTTCTATTGGTCAGTAGTATATCATGTAATAACTATTTAATTGCATCATGATTTTATTTATTCGGTGCCAGGGATTGAACTTGGGTCCTTGAGCTTGCGAGGCAGGCAGTGGAACCACTGAGCTAAATCCCTGGTGCATCATGATTTTAAATTAAATTACATGTATAAAGCCATTAAATAAGATATACCTTAATTAGTCTTCCTTTAAGGGTCAATATTATTGTAAAAATTTCTAACAAAATATATTATGTGTTGAGAAAATAATGTAGTTAAATACTGAAATGAGCTAGTGATTCCATCAGATAACGGAAAGTATGAAGATTACTAACTGTAAATAAAGTAGCTATTCTTGTTGTCATTGTTAACACTAAGCATAAAGTTTTGAAAAGACCATAACATTGAGATTCTTTGTCTAGGATACTCCTAGTTATTTCTACAGGGTAGAGGAAGAAGGTCTTAGAGAATCACTATCCACTAGTGCCTTAGATTTTCTAACAGAGGATCTAGTTCATTCATGAATTTAAGCAGAAATGTGCTAGTTATCTACCTGGGCCAGGCATAGAGCTGATATTGTCAATGCCGAGATGAGTAACTCTTGTCTTCCTCTTGACATTTTGGTGTTCCACAAGGTAGGGAAGGTGCATATTTTGGGCTTCTTGGGAAACATTGGGCAGCATCATTAAGATTGGGAAATTCTGGGCTGGGAATTTAGCTCAATGGTTCCAGTACCTGCTTCGTAAGTACAAAGACCTGAGTTCACTCCCTGGTACAAAAAAAAAAAAAAAAAAAAAAAAAAAAAAAAGAATGGGAAATTCTGCTAGCTTTGGGCCCAGTTTGTATCCTAACCCAGAAATTCCGACATCCCAAAACATTCCTTGGAAGCTTCCACTTATAGGTTGAAAGTCAAACTTTCATATGCTGATTGAAAAGTAGAGAAGAGATCCAAAAAGAAAAGTGCTGATTAAAGCTAATCCTGAGGGTGAAGAATAAGATCCCAGCTAACTCGTCCACTTCTTGTTTCTTCTGGATTGTGCTCTACCCTGGTAGGTGCACTGTCATTGAGGCTGGACAAACTTCCCATGTTAGGTTGGATGGAGTCAAGTTCATAAATTTGCATTCTGTGATGATGTCAGCATTTTCTTAGAGGATATTTTTATATGCATACAATGTACTTTCTTACTGCCATATACAATGAGCAGAGAGGAATTGTAACTGTCTAAGCTTCTCAAACTGTGATGTGCATAAAAACAACCAAGAGATCTTGTTGCGGTGTGGATTTGCATTCATTTGGCCTGATCCAGAGCCTGAGATTCTGCATTTCTAAAACTTTTATAAGCAAAGCCGACACTTGGACTTTGAGTAACAAGAACCTGAGACGTCTCTGTACCCAGGAGTGTTTGCCTTTCACAACTTCGTCTGTTTGTTTGCAGCTCTGGTGATGGTCCTAAATAGCATGAGTGTCAGCTGGAGTGCGCGGATTCAGATTTTCCTAACCTTTTGCAAGCTCACAGCGATTCTGATAATTATAGTCCCTGGAGTTATACAACTAATTAAAGGTATGCACTGAAAAGTAAATGCTTTTTCAAAGTATGTATCTGCTTTTGGTGTCTTCTAACACTTAACTTTTGCTGGTACCAGCAGAATCCTTAATTAGTCTCTGCTTGTGGAACTTAAACTCCATACTGTCATCTAATTGATTTGAAAGGCTGCTGCATTGAGGGTGAGTTGGTATTTACAGTTGAGAGGCAGCAAGAGGATTAAGACTGGGTCAACCAACAAAATAAGGCAGCAGTAAATTCTCCTGGTATAAATTGCTTGGAGTGAAAACTCAAAGTGAAAAAAAAAACAAAACACTGCCAAGATTAGTTTTGAAAAAAAAAATCTTTCATTACAGTTAAATATGGACTTTTTTTTTAACTTTAAAGTTGTTCAATAATCGCAGTAGAGTTTAAATAGAAAAAAGATTTCTGGAAAATAATGAAAGATGATTGATAATCCTGTTATTTTTTGGTTATCATTTCCTTTACCTTGAGAATGGTATCCTCTGCGAAGTAGTCAGATAAGGGAATAACATTCCTGGAAAAACAAATATTTATTTCAGAATGAAAATAGCTGGAGAATCTTAACTTTGATTGTTAGATTATTTTCAATGTAAAATTTGCATTTCTATCAAAATGGAACATTTTTCTGGGGTTATTTGCCTTTGAGGGTTTACTATTTAATAACAAAAGAAGTTAGGGGCAGTGCCAGTTAGAATTCTAGGTGCTTTAGGAAAGATGTGCATACAATTGCTTGTATTCCATGGAAATGGTTAGAGGAGGTTCACATGAGTTATTTAATTGGCAATGGGCACTCTAGCGGGAAATAATAGGAAAGAAATGTAAAGAAGTGACTTATAACTTGGGCATGTTAAGTATTTAATGTTTACATTGATTTTGTCTGTTGGAAGAAAGGGAATTTATAGAGAAATTTAATGACATTGCAGGAAAAGAATTACAACACGGGAAAGGAAATGCCAAAGTTCAGCAAAATCATTGCTGCTGGTAGAGGCATTAAACAATAACAAACATTGAAAGATCGGTCACTGTAGCTGGGAAAAGGAGATGCTGTTGTCCATTTAATAAGCCTAGTGGGAGATCTTACAGCCCTGCTGGCAAAATGCTTTCATCAAATCCAGCAACCTTAGCCAACTCGGAATAAGCACAATGAAGATTTTGGAACAGCAGAGCTTACACTGAAAGGAAGATACGAGCTTGGTCTCCTAATTCACCTTGCCTTCCTCAGAGCTGGTCTGCTCATCTTCCATTTTATTTGTCAGGAATGTATGCAGAATCATCTATTCTGTTAGTGCTTTCTTTTTTTAGGACTAAGACTTTCGTCTTCTGTAAAGGTCCTTCTTCAGTATTTGGAAAGTGTAGAAACTCTAGGTCAGTGGCTCTTTAGTCCTCATTAAGATTCCAAAAATTGACACACTATCCCCTGAAACTCAGGTAAAAATTTCTTTTTAATGCAATGTCACATATCATTGATAGCATTGGAATCCTTTATCAATCCTTACCACTGACTTATGTATGTGTATGAGGTGGTTGCCCAAATGGTAAGAACTGTATTTTAAGTCCCTCAGTATCAAAAATCTTCATTTGATATAGGTGTGGAATCCTTGGGGAGTTACAGTGGAGTGATCTTTAGTTAATACTTACGAGACCAGTGCTTAGTGTGACCAAGCGCCTTCTTAAATCTCGCCCACCAGAGAAGTTCCCTGAGAGTATCAGCACATTTTAAAATGAATTTTAATTTGGAGCACATGGTTAGCAGGTACTTTTGTTCTCTTAGTTAAAAATGAAATAAAATCGCAGTTTTCTTTTCAACATCATCACATGTTTTTGACACTGAGATGGAAGAGAAAGTCTTCACTAATCTATATTGCACATCCATTTCTACTCGAATCAGATCCTGATAATGTTGTATATTTACTTCCGAATACGTTTTGAGTTTTCCTTTGAATGTTAGACTTTCATCTCCTTGTGGCCTCTTTTATGCTACCAAAATATTCTTGAAGTTTAGAAACAAAATGCTTCTCTGTTGTATTACTCTCAGAATGCATTTTTGAGGGTCTGTGCTTATGACTCAATCTTTACAAAGATTTTTTTTCCTTTTCTTTTCCCTCACTGATTGTTCTGCCCTGCTTTCTGAGGAATATCGTCCCTTAGGCCAAGGAGACCACGAATCATGATAAAAGAATACTCAAGAGGTGGTTTTTTCTAAAGACCAGTATTTATAAGGACAAGTGGCCGTTTGAGTAAAACTGGCATTTCTGATTCGTTGTAGCATTTTAAAAAGTGAGCTATAGGTATAAGGAAATTGGTAACTTTGAAGGAAAAACTCAACGTTCTCCAATTCTGAGTTTCTATACTTACTGTCAATGCTGTGCCTGGTAATGCAGGCAGCAGCTGAGATTTGACTTGGAAGACAACGTCCCTCAGGTAGCTACCTCTTGCTCTTCTTTTGTTGACTGATTTTACAGGGAAGTCATTTTTATTTGGGTTATCTCATTCGCTATTTTCTTTGGGAAATAGAAAAAAATTTTTCTTATTTGCTAAAGTTTGCATATTGGCTGAGTAGATGGAATAATCTCTTATAAGAAAAAGATCCACTGCCTTACACAAAGAAAAAAGGGAACAAAATAGTTCATTTCACATTTGATGCAAAACTTATTAAAACTCAGGTTAGAATTTAGTGTGATTTCTCTTTAACATTTCAAGAAGAAAACTGTACCATTTCCCAAGACAGTCAGTTATTTTGTTTTTAAATCTACGAAGGACTAGCTTCTTTCATGGTCAAAGTAGAGGCATGTCCAAAAGAAAGACTGTTACTAAAATGTCATTTTCGTCCTCACTACAACAACTTTATTTAAAAAGAAATGCATTTGGAACTTTTGGATCAATTTATTTTTGGAACTTTTTCTCTAGAATGGGTACAGTATTAATATATGAAGCTGCTAGTGAGCAAAGAATAAGAAATAGAGACCTGAAACAGTACTGGTTCCGTCCCTCACTCCTGTATTTATGGTCAGAGTAAATAATAACCAGTTCTTCAGAAAGCTCTAAACTTTTGCATTCTAATTGCAGGGCAAACACAGCATTTTAAAGACGCCTTTTCTGGAAAAGATGCGAGTATTATGGGGTTACCACTGGCTTTTTATTATGGAATGTATGCATATGCTGGTTGGTAAGTTTTATCCAGATCTGGTGGTTTGGATAATCTAATATCTTCAAGTATTTTGCTTATGTGTAATGCAAGGTGCTAGGGAAATGTGAAAAGCTACAATCGAATGCAAGATGGTATACTTGAAATGTATCCCTCTCTACCAGGCCCGTTACTGTGCTCATGACTTAATGCAACCTTAATGTTATAAGGTTGGAAAGGTGTAATACTTTTCCTCACCCATTGTAAGGGTCAGGGCTAGCAATCCTATAACAAAAGACAGATTAACAAGAGAAAAGAGTAACACATTTATTTAATCCAAGATTCATGTTACATGGGAGTCTTCAGAAATGAAGACCCAACACCCCAGGGAAAACTTTCTATTTTTATGGATGAAAGGGTGTGATGTAATGGTATAGATGAGAGGGGAAGCCTAGCAAGACCAATCTGTTCAGATTCATCTTAGATTCTCTGTGTGGCAGCTCTTCCTGCAGGTATGGGGCAGACCTCCTCTGGATCAAGGGTCTTACAGGTTACTATCAGAGAAGGTAATCAGAGAATTTCTTCATGACCTGCTCTACACAGAAAGGCAGAAGGTTGGAGTATATTTCTAGAATTTACTGCTTGCTTTCAAGGAGAAAGGGGTCCAATTTCTAGGAATCATTGGGAAGAAGAATTCTGTTTTCCATGGCTTGACTTAAACAGTAAGAAAGAGGAATATGAGAAATAAAAGCAGGAGAACTTGAGGTAGATCTTGCTTCTGAGCCCTGTTAGTTTACTTTAGTTCAAACTTGTTTCCATTAGTTTGAAGTACTCAGTAAGCCAAGGGATTAGAGGCTGAGATACCATTTTCTAAGTCCAATACAATGAAGATGACTACTAGTTTTAGTTCAATATCATAAAAGGAAATGCTTGGGTAGGCATGGTGGCTCATGCCTGTGCAGTAATTCCAGAACTTGGGTGGCTGAGGCAGATAGATTGCTTTGAGTCCAGCCTGTGCTACATAGTGAGTTCAAGGCCAGCCTAAATTACACAGGAAGCCCCTGCCACAAAACAAAAAGCAAAACAAACACCCCCCCAAAAAAACAGCAACAACAACAACAAAAACTCCAAAATAAAACAACAACAGAACACAAATACTAGGTCTTAAGAGCTCGTATCAACTACTTCTAATTAGGTATCAATAGCTGGGCCTGGTGGTTTACCCCTGCAATCCCAGCTACACTGCAGGGAACCTGAGTCAACATGATCAAAGTTCAAGGCCAGCCTGGGCAACATGAGTCTCTGACTCAAATTTTAAAAAGGGTCTGGGGATGTAGCTTAGTTCCGACTGGGTTCAATACCCAGCATCACAAAAATAAAGAAGCACATACATATATACATACAATTATGTAGCAGTAAGGACAAAATAGCATCATAAGGTCCTAGAAATAAATCCTTAGCTTGTCATAAAAGTCAGCAGAAGCTCCAAAGATATTTACAAATAGCGACGAGTCTATTTTTTTCTACTTTCTGTGATAAATAATTCAGATACAAAAATAAAGTGTTCCAAGGAGGGTAAAATAAAGTTCTAAAGACAGGAAATAAGATAATCAGACCTCCTGTACCAGGCCACATGTAACATTTTTAACGTTTCTTAAAATTTCCTTGACGTTTGAAAAGTAAAATATGCCACAAAGATGACCAAGATAACGATGCCACAGGTATATGTCCTTTGAAGGATGTCTGTCTGTGACAGCTACCATTTTGGTGAAGACATTAGAATATCATACTTAAGCCTTGCATTGTTCAGCAGCTTGAATAACAATAGTCATGAATGAGAATGGATCTTTTCCTAATTAAATTTTATTGACCTCCTAAGATTTAGTTGAGATAACTGTTTCAAGAAAGCCCACTAGGTATAAAAATATTATTGAAACATCAAAATCATCACAACAAGGTGATCTTTTAGTGGAAGTTTAAAAACAATGTATTTGTGAAGCTAATATTGATGAGGCTTTAGCTGCGAGAATGTTCTATGAGGCAAAAAAGAGTATCAGGAAACTTTACCAGCTCAAGCATTATGTAAATGCCTTTCTGACACAAATTTAATTTTCTTTAGTTTTCTTTAGTTTTTAAGATCTCGCCTTCAGGTAATGCAGGGACTATAAAGATATATTTCTAAAATAAATTAAGTGGTACCCTGTTAATCTCACTGAATTATGAAAGTATTGCATTAGAAAGGAATTAAGAGAGTACAGCAACTTAAATGTTTTAGCATGGCTTTGAAGCAAAATATGCTTGAAAGGTGTTAGACGATTGTAGCTCTCAGGAGATCAGGATGAAATATTTGTATATTCCCCAAATATCTTTACAGCCATTGTGTGTAAGCATTAGTTTTCAATCACTCAATCCTTTTGAAGTCTTTTCACTTTTGTCCAAAGCACAATATGGTGCTGGGCAGAGAAAAGAGCTGAGTATGATCACAGGGTTAGAAGCAGAATCCAGCTCTTCTGTGGCTATTCAGCCCGGATCACAGCTCGCAGCCCTGGGGTAGCAGCCAAACTACTGTGAGGGTCGCTGAGAGCCGCCAGAGCAAAGAAGGGAGGTAGAGAAAGCTTTCAGCTACTATCAGGCGCTGGGAGCCGCTCAGGGCTCGATCAGGAATGTGGAATGTGAAGATCCTCACAAGGGGGATTTGATTAATTCTGTCGAATAAAGTTCCTTTTCCCTGTGAGTACCATGCATCTGTTCCCATGGAATCTTAAAATATTTCTGCCCTCCTCATTCCTTCTGTAACCAGCAGTGAATATTCAGGTCACCGGCTTGATGTGGAGCCAGTGTTCTCCACTTCTGAGGCTTTGGAGAGCTGACAGATTTCTCCGTGTATAAAGACTCTTTTCAGTTTTAATTATCTTATTAATATTGAATTTTATTGGTTCTAAACCCCAAATGTTACTCGGTTTATAGGGTAAAAGGGGTTCGTGTGCTTTATTTCTACTTTCACCCACAGAATCTTCACGACCACTCCCCATTTTGAGAAAACCAGATACATTGATTTCCTTATATTCTTGAGGGTTCAATCGCAACATTAGAAAATAAATTCAGGATTTTTAAAGGGATGTTGTGCTAGTTATTTTTCTTGTTGTTGAGACAGAAGGCTTGGCACCCAAGGTTAAAGGGGAAAGGGTCTATTTAGCCCACAGTTTGTAGAGGTTTCAGCCCTTAATCGCCTGGCTACAAGGCAGGGTGGCAGAGTGGCAACAGTTCTTGGCAGTAGAAGACAGCAGAAGCAAGCAAGCTTAACGGCGTCTTTCTGCAGAAGTAAGATGGTGCCAAACCAATCAGTCATGTGATTTAGGAATCACTTGCCCTTAATCCTAGCATCACACACTCTAGGTTTAGCCCCACCTATGACTGCATGAGGCTTTGGGGGCGAGGGCATCTAGACACAGCCATGACAGATGTAATCTGAAACGAGTGGTCTACATAGGGGACTGATAAGTAAATGATTTTCTACCTGGATTTCTGCTTTGTGATGAGATGGAAAGAATCTGGTCATTACTCTGTGACCATCAGTCTTAGAAAAAGGAAGCTAGGTTTAAAAAAGAGTCCGTTGGCTTGAAGTTGCAGAGAAAAAGTTAGAATATGGATGTCAGTGGTCCAAGATGGAAGCAAAGAGAATTCCCCAACAGAGGGTTGCTTGTTTACTTTCCAGATGTGACCCCTGCCTATCAGACTGCTCCATCTTTCCGGATGTAATTATAAGAGGCCTGTAGTTGACCCATTGCTCCTTGCATTGCTGCCAGGACTACCGTGTCACACACGTGTGCACACGTAAGCATTGGGAGCATTGTAACACCCATGGGAGCATAGCAAATGAAAAAGAAGGAAGCTAAGCAGCTGTTGCCATCAGGCTGATTGGCCAGCCTGTTAGCCTGCTCGTAAAGGAGCAACACCACCCGCTGTCCTGGAGACCCCGCTCTGTGAGCAGTCCAAGTCCTGGGAGTTGAGTAAGAAAAAGTCTCCACCGAGCCTTGGAGAAACTGAATAAGCTTTTTGGCTCTGAGGAGCACAGAACCCTTACAGTATGATGACAACTCCTTCACAGAAACACGATTAAGGAAAAAGAAATCATTAACCCAGCCAGGTCACAGAGTTGGGTCAGAACAGCTTTAATATATTGCCACTGTCTGCATTCAGAGAAATACATCTGCCAGTCCCCTGGTGGCCTTGGGGATCTCATCCAATTTCAGTCCCATAGCCTGATCCAAAGCTAAAAATTACTTGGTGGGATTTAAAAAAGTAAATAAACAAACAGAACTATGTGATAGAAAATAGTTTTCGGTGTCTTTTTTTCTTCCTTTTAACTCTCATCCTCAATGGATTCAGTCTTTCTAAAGCACCTGCTGGGATTATTTTGTACCATTTTGTCACATCTAATCTAAAGAATAAGCTTTTTTTTTTTTTAAAGAAGAATTCATGTGTTGGGTGTTGGAATATGCTGCTAGCATTCCTTTGCCTTTTATGCATAATCACGGAAGAGCTGGAACAATGCATTTTGTGAACATTCTCCAGGGGCCTTGAGGAGGACTCAGTGCTGGAGATATATTTCCCACAGGATGTGCATGTTTGGACTAAAATAAGAAGCTTTCTCCTTCCTATCCTCTACCCTGCCCTGAGCCCTTTCCGTTCCACTATTCTCTGGTACCATAGAAAATATTTGAAGTGATGTTTCTTTTTCATAAATATTTTCCTTTTGCTTTGATATTATTAGAAAAGACCAATTTCTAAAAACAACTGTGAAGAAAGAACCGGCTGTCTTTGGATGAGAGGCTTAGCCACATTCCTGGTGTGTGATTTTTGATGCATATATGAAACACATCAACTCTCCCAAAGAGCATATTTCAGATGCACATACTGACTGTTGTTTGCTTTCCTAATGTTACATTATAACCTCTACTCTTAGAAACTTAATTTTTGAGTCATTTTAAAACTTACCACTTAACTTTTTTTTTTTTGGACTGGGGACTGAACTGGGGACCTTGTGCTTGAGAAGCAGGCAACGGAACTACTGAACTAAATTCTGGCCCTTACCACTTAAGATTTTGTTCTCCTTTGGTTTTCTTTGGAGACAGGGTCTCACTCTGTAGTTGAGACTGACCTGGAACTCACTGTAACCCAGGCTGGTCTCAAACTCAGAGCGATCCTCCTGCCTCAGCCTCCTGAGTGCTGGGATTACAGGTGTGCACTACCACACCTGACTCCTTTACCAGTTAACTTTTTTGGGGGTGGGGGTTTGAGACAGGGACTGACTGACTATGTAGTTGAGACTGACCTGGAACTCACTATGTAGCCCAGGCTGGTCTTGAACTCACAGTGATCCTCCTACCTCAGCCTCCACAGAGGGCTGGGATCATAGGCATGCGCCACCACGCCCAGCACCACTTAACTTTTAAAATCACTTTTCTTGTTACCATTCTTCCAATATTTCGAGTGTATCAACTTAAAAGATAGCTAAAACTGTAGCTCATTTAATCTTGAACATCAAGTATCTGTTTTTGAATTTAGATGAGGTTTTTATGAAGATGAAGCAACATAGACTTACCTTTCTTTTAGGCTGTGTGGTACTTTTAAGCAAATTAAAAGCTGATAGACCATTTTGTTTGAGATTGTAGAACATTTGTATATACAGACTTGTGCTCTTGTGTACTCATAGGAAAGGCTGCATCTTTAAACTTTCTAATGGATAATAACTGAAGAATACATTGAAATATTGTCTATACTTTGCGAAAATTTCTTAAATCTATGAAATGCAGAGGCAGCAATTTCTTTTCTTTATATATTTTGTGCTTCCCATAAAAATCCCTTAGTTTCTCCATTTTCATGATTCAATTTTCTATTTACGCTTATTTGAGGGTAGAATCTGCCTCGACTCTACATTGTAGAAACTTAAGAAAGACAATGTAGAAATGTAAGAAGGACATTATAGAAACTTAAGAAAGATCTATGAAAGCTTTAAGTGGTCTCCAACCTTCCCAGTAAGTTGGCAAACAAGAGTTAATTCCTGTATGGGACTGGTACAGGTACCGAGTGAAAGAAACAGGTCTGGATTTCTCTAGGACCCTGACATTAGGATGATATTTCCAGTCCTATGGAACTTGAAAGTGAATTATTCCATGACCAGAATACTTCTTGTCACATAACCTCCCCGAATTATTGTGGACTTGAGAAATGTTCAAAATTTCCAGTGCTTTAGTTGTTTTATAGTGTAGTGGCTAACAGTATGCCTAAGACTAACTGCCTAACTATATAAAACTGAGAAACGGGAACTTCCTAATTTTGAATTGAGGTCATTTAGGATGCACATGTTAAAAAAGTGATCTAAAAGGAACAGGTGTGAATTGAGGGTTTATCATCTTTTCGCTTTTAAATTATACACTGACAAATTATAGTTGTACATATTTACAGGGTACAGAGTGATGCTATGATTTAGGGATCTAGAAGAATACAATCAAACAAATTAACATATCCATTACTTCAAATATTTATTTTTTGCAGTAGAACATTTTCAATGTGCTCTCTTAGTAAATTTCACAAGTACATCATTATTTATACCATTATTGCTTCCTACTGGTGCACTGTGTTTCTCTGTGGGAAACCCAACGACTGCTCCCTAGATTGAGAAATGCTGCCTTTGCACCCTGTTTTTTTTTGTTTGTTTGTTTTTTTTTGTTTGTTTTTTGGTGGTACCAGGGATTGAACTCAGGTCCTTGTGCTTGCGAGGCAGGCAGCAGAACCACTGAGCCAAATCCCTGGCCCCGCACCCTAAGTTTTGATTCACTCGTCTCTGCCTCTGAAATTTGGAATCACAGGAGGCAAAGATCCTCTCGTATTTAATTCTCTTCCTACTTGATGTGCCTCGCTCCTAAGGTAGAATGCCGCACAGGTTCTCCCGTCCTGTGCACGCCCCCATACTTCTGTGATTATGCAATGTTCTCAGCTTGGGTGACCTCACAGCACCCCAGCAGAACTAAATGTGATCTATTCTTGGAAGCTCACATTGGGAGATGGTACCTCTAGGGACCCTCCTTGACCTTGACCAGGCTGAGTTAGCTCTGCTCCGGGTTTCTCTCTTGTTCCCTGAACTCTGAGCTCCTCGTGCAGATAGACTATGGGTTTTTCTCACTCAAATGCCTAGCATTTGACACATTATAAACCCCCCACAAATATGGTTTAATAGGAAAATGCTTTTAATTATTGCATATTTTTATCTTACAATAAGTATTTTTAGGAAGTTTTCATAATTTGAATTCACTTGAAATATTTAAAATGTAAGACTTTGCATTGCATTGGTGAAATATATTAATGCTTACTGTTCATTTATATGTTTTTAGGTTTTACCTCAATTTTGTTACGGAAGAAGTCGAAAACCCTGAAAAGTAAGTAGCCCTATTTACTCTGAATCTCTATGAGGAATAAAACTTAAGATGATGTAGTTGAAAAGTAAACGTGGAGAAGGAATTCCTTGTGGTTCAGTAAATTTTATCATCGTATTGTTCTCATCATTGTTGTTATTGTCTTACACAGATAAATTTGCCTTGATTTTTTTCATAAATGATATGTAAATAAATATATGTAATATAATTTTGTATATATAATATATGTAATATATTTTTTCATAAATGATATGTAAATAGCTATATATTCTATACTGAAGTCTAAATTGTCTTTTAATTAGAAAGCATAAAAATAAATTTGTATTTTATATGTGCTCTCACATGAATGTGTAACTTGACATGGCTACTCACAAGTATAGTCTGAACTCAAAAGGTTGACTCTGTAATAATACAAATACTTCTCTTACACCTGTTCAATTAAAGAAAATAATATAACTGATGGAACATTAGACATGAAAATAACTGCGGAATGTTAGAGGAGCTTGTAAATTTAGATAGCTGAATGCTTATTATTTTTACGTTTCCTTCCTTCCTTATTTCTCTTTCTCCCCTGCCCCCCCCGCCATACTTTGAATTGAATCCGGGTCTCATATATGCCCGACAAGTGCTCTACAACAGAGCTACACCCCAGTCCTATTTTTATACATTCTTTCTAAATAACAATGTGATTATTAGGTGATTTTACACACACACACACAGACACACAGACACACACATTCATATATATTGTTTCTAAAACAGATTAGGAAAAATGATTTTTATAGTTTTTTTAGTTCATGTTATGATTTGTATATAACATTTCAGTTTGCACAGAAAAATAACATAAAAATGTTTGGGCCAAAGAGGAAAAACTTAGGAAGCATAATGTAAAGTATGAAATTATTTAATTCACATTTTTATTCAACATCTGCTATGTTCCTACTATTTTGTTAGGTATATTGTGCATAAGTCGGCTTGTCTTCAAGCACTTGATTGTTTTATTGTCTGTTTGATAATTCAAATGTATAAACCATCAATGTTAAGAGTATGCTTGATACCACCATTGGTTATTGACTCAATGTGGCAAAGAAGAAAGATTTTATGTAGGTAGATGTTCCTTAGATTCCCAACTGAATAAGTTAACAAGTACAGGGGGAGAGAGAGAGAGAGAGAGAGAGAGAGAGAGAGAGAGGAGAGAGACTTGACTTCTAAGAAAAGGAACAAGTACAAAGGCGAGTCAGTGTGAAATAGCCTGTACATCAGAGCGTATGCCTATGGGTTGGCAGTGTGAAGTAAGATGGACTGAGAAATTCTGGCACCACGTGTATTGGGAGATGGTAAACTGATTAGATCTGGCCGAGTGTATGAGGGTTGTCAGAGTATAGAACACACAAGCCAGCAATGGATGTTAAAATGATGTTTCATGGCATCTGACCCAACTGCTATGCAAATCAATATGCAATTTCAACACGAAGAAAGCTATTCTATTAAGAAATGTGACTAACTTATAACACTACTGTCATGTTTATAACTGGGATTGGAAGCAGAGCACACATATTTACCAGGAACTGGTCTTAATAATACTTGGAAATGACAAGCTACCTTATAATTGCACACTCGTATGTAGAGATAAATAGGTTGCCCTGTCTTGTTGGTTTTTGAGAATAATTAGAACATAAGTGGCAATGCAGAGAAAAAAACAGCTCTTATTATATTTTATATAAAACATCCATTGAATTTCCATTATGTGGAAGAAATAACTATGGTTTATGACTATGACTTTTACATCTAAAAACATTTTAAAGACACTTGTTACTAAAAATCACATGCAACTGTGGGTTTGTTGATATACCTACAATATAACATTTATTATGTGATATGTCAGTGATGTATATAATGATTTTCAGCTCATATCATTCATTCCTTTTAATGTTAAGTTTAAACTAGTTTTGTTTGCTGTATCTACATTAATGTAGTATATATTAAGTGTATTTTAAAGCTATTTATGCCATAGTTACTCCAACCTGAATTTCTGTTGTATTTCACCAGAATGGCTTGGTACTCAAAGTTTCTTTCCCTCTCCTCTCTTCTTTAAGAAGAAATTAATTCATTTCTTAGTTTCACAAACTAATAATGTCTGTGAGTCAGTGTATATGCCAATACTAAAAAATAGTGATACATTGTGTTTTGTTTGTTTGTTTTTCTATGTACAAGAAATTTTCTTATTTTAAAAACTAGAAATAACAATGGAATGTACATCATGGGGCCATGTTGATGAGTTAATGTGTATGAAATACTTAGATTACTGGTTATCACTTTTTAATCTCTATGTAAGTGTTTGGTGGCTGGTACTACTATTGTTATTTTCTTGTTTTAGAGCAAGGTAAACTTACTCACATAATAGCGTTTTTTAGGTTTCAAAATTTGAAGCAATTATTTTTCTTCAGTGCTTTTGAAAGAAATATGGAAAATCATTGCACATCATGGAAATCTACTGTTACAGTTTAGATAGATAGAGGTGTCCTCCAAAGGGCCCGTGCATTCAGAGGTGGGCTTTGGAAGGTTACTGGATTTTGAGGGCATTGCAGCTGGCTTGTTGTCAGGAGATGGGTCCTGGATAGAGGCAGTGCAATGGACGTGTGACCTGGGAGAGAAGATCTCTCTCCAGGTTCCAGCCTTAGCTCTCTCTCTCTGCTCCCTGACCACCACGATGAGGCAAGCTTTCCTCCACAATGTGCCTTTCCTCCATTCTGTTTCTGTATTTGAACCTGACAGCCATGAATTGAAACTTCACAAACTGTGAGCCAAAATAAAGTCCTCCTTTAAGATGTGGGTGTCAGGTACTGTGTCTCAGCCACCAGGAAAGTAATTAAAACACCTACACTCTGAAATTTTCAGCACTGAAGAAACTTTTGTTAACATTTTGTTCTCTCACACTGGATGCCCACATATTCAACTGTTACATGGAAATTTCTGTGTAAAATTTGACGGACACATTTATTTTCTCAAAAGTAAAATATGAGATGTCCATAAAGTATTCTTTTTAGGATACAATAAAAGGCCAACATTGTATTACATATCTATCAACCAAAGTAACTCAGTGTTTTGTATAATTTGGGGTTTTCATGTTTGAAATGACATCTCCTGATGTTCACGATCAGTTTAGGTCTTCAAAATCTGAATTTTATCTTTAAAAGTCAGGGAATTCTTTGGGAAATACTTAGGGGTGAATATCAGGAACAGATGGTAAAATCATATAAACCTAGTCCAGATGTATCATTTGTATTAGTTTGTAGGGAGACCCAGTTTCAAAATACTTTCAGTTAAAAGGGGGGATAATTATGATTGCACCCCCTTTGTGACAATGCCAAGGTAAATGCGTTTCCCAATTGCCGAGGCATGTGTGTGCACGTGTACCGCAACACAACATTCTGGCAGTAGGCTAAATGACTCATCAGTCAGAGCTACAACACCTTTTACTGGTCCTCCTCCACTTTGGCAATAAAACTTTCCTGAAATTGTGACCTAATTAGCAAGGTGATAATTAATTCGGCTCATTGAAAATAGCTGTGTGCTTTACAATATGTAGAATGCCGAGTGAAATTTCAAGACCTTTCATTTTGAGAAATCTTTCAAGTTACCTCATATGAAATGTGAAATGCTTTCCCAGCTGTTTCTGTAGACATGCCTTTCAGAATGTGTCCTTCAGTGTTATAGCAAGGGTGAGGGAAATTTGGACAAAATCTCTGTTTATATAATTGTATTCATCACATTAAGGTATTTTCCCACGGCTTTTCTGATAATGATTTCCTCTTTATGAGTAGCTTTGAGTTCATGGAAGTAGGAATTTTTCAGATATAGTAGTTTCCATTGTAATAACATACAGATATTGCCTTTAATAATTACTGCATGGTGACTGACTCCACAAATGAATCTGTTAGATAGAATAAAAATAGTATTTGAGGGATATGAATGAACAGTTTGAATCATGAAGGTCATAGAATTCCAAGGAATACCCAATTTAAAATGTTATTGCCCTCCCAAATGACATGCAAAATAATAATGGCTAATAACATATACTTAAAAAATCAAAGTGTGTTCACAGATGTAATGAATTTTGCATTATGTCATTACTTTTGTGGGGAATATATAATCTGTCATTGTTCAAAAAGTTACACAGTGCAGCAAACATATCACTAAGATGTATAATGTTTGTAATCCTATTCTTAGATTGATAAATCATGTGTTGATGAAAGCTAAGAAATGAATTGCTTTGCTTTGACCTTGGGGTCTGACATTAGTCAGTTTGTCTATTAGACTTGTTCCCATGTTCTTCTCACTCCATTTATTCCTTCTGTTCTGAAGAGTTGGAAATAGTAGACTTAGAGGAAGTCAGTAAAGCTTGCTATCATTAGTCATTTTTGAAGAACAGGCTATCAACATGCACTGAATAATCAGCTTTAATAGAAGGTTTAAATACTCAAGAGTGTCATGTTTAATTCATACTTTACCTGCTTCCAATTTATATTAATTGATGCCTCAAAGTCATCACACCTTGCACAATGATAACTTAGAAGAAGAGAAACTTGGCCTGGGAAAAATGTCCAAAGGTCTTTGTGTGATCCATCAGATTAGTTCACAAGGGCCCCCAAACAGTCAAGTTGTTTGCATTCATTTGCGATGTTGCAGTCCTACATTTTAAGTCAGTGTATTTTGTAAATCAGTGTAAGTAATGTGTTTTGGGTCCTTATTGACTGTTTAGTTCCTTATTACACTTCTTCCATGGCCTATTATTTACAGGCCCTATAAAACTATTAGCCTGATTAAAACACAGCAGCACAAAACAAAACAAAATCTTCCCTAAATGTGTCCTAGCCAGGTTGCATGACAAAAGACTGATTTTAAGTCTTCTTATTTTGTAGTTTGGCATTTCAAGAATGCAGCTTTTTATTACAGACAGATATTCCTTACGTGTTCTGTAGATTTCTAACTTACTAGAAAAG